ACGGGGAAATTCGTGTCAGTGTTAAGGCAATTTCCCGTGTTTGTACTACGGTCAGGAACTACCGCCGCCTACGCCACCCGGAGCGAGCCAGCCGCCTATAGCGGGGTGCCTGATGTATGGGAATGGTGTGTAAAGCCGGCAGTGTGAATGAGTAAGTACCTATGTGTGTATTTCGGTGATTAGTAGACTCTAAAGCTTGAATTCGAGGTCAAGTGTTCCGTCACATTGTCACGCAGCACCTGTTCAGGTGGAGTGAATTGTGGGCGAGGAGATTAATCACCTGTGTTGTCATCTTGTCAGTCCAGAGGGACTTTAAGTCCGGTGTACACAGACGTACAGTGTGTGTGTGTGTGTGTGTGTGTGTGTGGGTACACACGGGGAACAGGATACATAGTTTAGCCAAGGACGGAGAGGATGTCCATGTAATAAATTCTTTTATTTCATTGTGGTAATCATTTTTGATCGTCCGTGGGACGGAGTGATATCATTTCCATGTGTGGTCTTGCAGGTGTGGAATTCCAACACTGAGCGCTCAGGTATGTGTAACGCCAGTGATTCCTGGCAATGATTATTGTGGAGTGTGCCACAGTGTGGCTTAAATTTCTTGTAGTGTTCCCAGGGCCGTGACAAGTGTGATTTATATAAATATATATATATTGTGGTTGCAGTATTAATTAACGTAATTTTGGTGAGGTTTGGTGAGTGACGAGGCCGTCTAGAGAGACCGCCCCCGCTCTGTCGAGTAACGTAACTCTCGAGTGTTTATCGGCATGCGTGACCGATAAATCACTCACCCATGCGATTTAAGGAGTGTGAGATTCTCCTTAGTGTTCCCAATAACGTTTGATAGCTGTAGGCTACATGTGTCAGCGGTAATTATATATATATATATATATATAATCGTAGTGTTACGGTGCACAGTGTTAATGTGTTATTTACTGTGTGGTGATTGCAATGTATTGACCTATGTTCTAGGGGTCCTTTGCAGCAGGAAGTAAGTAAGTGTGTGCAGTATCCTAATATTTGGAAATTGGAGTACTTGCCGTGTGTGTTATTGCAAAGGGGGTTGTTATTTGATAGTGATTGTTGCTAGTGTTGAGCAATCACCTGATGTGATTGCAGTCCAGTAAAACCATTGTGGGGCAGTGTTCTAGAGGGTTCATGTCCTGTATGTTATTTTGCTAGATTCTGCAGTATTGTCATAGCAACCGGATTGTAACGTAAATCACTGTGATTTGTTAGTGTGATTTGTCATTGTCGTGGGTGAACTCGGCTGTAGACGAGTACTTGGATACAAATATATTCTCCTGGTTATCTGGTAGGACATCGAAGTCCAGTATTCAGTGAGGTGATTGCGAGGCAATTAATATAACGTAACCAAGGAAACGCCCATTGCTTTAAGAGAATTTGTTCTTTGACAATTTGAGTAACGTAGAATGCGTTTGGGTTAATTTACTTTCCTGTAAGCAGCTACGGTAGTCTCGAGGAGCCTAGCCATCAGCCAGATAAGAATTAGAGTATTGTCTGTCGTAATTAACGGTCAGTGGGCCGGGTAATTGACGTGTTTCAGGAAGTCCAAGTAATTAATCTCGATCCTTGTTTGATCGACTCACACGAAGGCTACATTGTTCCATTAACGTAACGTCGTTATCTGCCCGGAAGTACCGGCATTGGATTAACTCGTGAGAGGGGTAACGTCATTTAGAATAACGTAAACGTGGGGCTAATTACTGTTATTAGTCGCCTGAATTGGTCTGAGTATGGAAGGCTTAGACGGAATTCATACCTTAATGTAAATTGCTGAGCCAGTGTGAAAGGTTGCGTATTTTAATTGTTTAATTATTGATCTTGAGGATAGTAATTAATTACTCTAAAGGTAATCACGAGTGATTACCGTTCTCTTAGCACTTTGGACATTGTAAATCAGAGTTTACCATCGCTGAGTGATTAGTAACCGATTAACGTAAATTAACGTAACTAGTAAAGAGATTAATCAGCTGTCTGGAAGTACAGGGATTAATGGGATTTTCTCACTAAATGCTCGACGGGTAGTGTTATTTGATTTCCGCGTTACTAGTGACAGTTGTAAGAGTTGTTAATTTAACGTAAATGTTATTGTGTTATTAACGTAAATCAATTGTTATTGATTGTTGATCGTCCGTGGGACGGAGTGTTAACGTAAGGATTAATTTGAGGAAGGGTGCTGGAGTTGCCAGTGAACCCATTAGTTATTGTTGTCATTGAAAGACTACTGATTTGATTGCAGTGCAACCGCTGTTGCAGGAGTAGACTGCACTGAGGCGTAGAACAGTTAGGAGGTTACTGGAGACGTATTTCAGAACCTACTGTGTCATTTGTTGTAATTGTGATTATAGATCTGTTAGTTCTTGCTTGCTTGTTGATTCCTCTGTGGTCACGCTTATGTTCGAGTTAGTTCATTATGCAGTCCGAGGGGCTGGTGTCTAGCTGTCATTGATAGTGTCACAGGAAGGATTTCGAGTAACGTCATTGACATTTCTTTTGTTTTGTTGTAGTAGTTAGTACTTTAGTGAATAAACTAAGTTGTTATGGTTAACTGTCTTTTCGTTACACCCCACACATTATTATTGTTATGCAAATGTTCTTCACACTCGACTAAAATTGAGACTAATTTTCTGAGCTTTGGATCAAATATACGGCACCACACAACAATAAATTATTGTTGTGAGAGCCCGTGACCTACTCGTTAGATTCGCTTCGGCGATTGGCAAAGGTCGGCGGCCTAAGTGTGGGGATTTCAATTTTCATTGGGGTCTCGGCGTTTGCTCGCGCCTAGTCAATTGTTCATACATGGTCCCAAAGTGAGGAATGAGCTGGTTACTACACTGGTGTGTTAGCTAAGCAAGTCCTTCCTCAGGCGACCTAGTTGAATATCATGACAGGAATAAAGGTTAAAGAATAAAGAAAGTTCTTAGAAATTTTCCGAGCTAAAATTCCTTATACCAATTTCAATTTATTCCACAAATTCTCAAAACTCTCACAGTGTTGAGTAATTAGAGGACGTAAGAGATTTTGGGTAGTAGAGCCCCAAGCACAAATACCATAGTTGAGATATGGATAGATAAGGGAGTAATAGAGAGTCACCAGGGCAGGGCGTGGTACATAATATCTGATCTTAGAAAGAATGCCCACAGTTTTTGAAACTTTTTTTGATATGTTTAGAATGTGTCCCTGGAAATTCAGCTTGTGGTCAATGAGAATGCCAAGGAATTTGCCATCTAATTTGTTACAAATTTGGGTATTGTTTATTTTGAGATTTATTTGATTAGAGGATTTATTGCCAAACAGAATATAGAAAGTTTTGTCAATGTTAAGGGTGAGTTTGTTGGCAGTTAGCCACAGATGGACTTTATTTAGCTCAGTATTTACTGTGGCATTTAGAGCAAGGGGATCAGGACTGGAGTAAATGAAGGTTGTGTCGTCAGCAAATAGAATTGGTTTGAGGTGTTGGGAGGCATTTGGAAGGTCATTAATGTAGATGAGAAAGAGGAGAGGGCCAAGTATGCTGCCCTGGGGAACCCCAATGTTGATGGGTAGGGTGGGAGAAATTGTATTATTCACAGAAACACATTGGAGCCTGTCAGTAAGGTAGGATTTGAGGTATTGTAGGGAGTGTCCTCTGACACCATAATGATGTAATTTAAGAAGAAGGTTTTGGTGGTTGACATTATCGAAAGCTTTTTCCACAAATAACCCAACAGGGAACTCATTTTTATCAAGAGCTGTATGAATCGAGTTAAGCATACTAATAAGTGCATCGTTAGTGTTTTTTTTGGGCCTGAAGCCATATTGGCAAGGGCTAAGTATATTGAGTTTGGCTAGATATGAGTAAAGCTGCTTATAGATTAGTTTTTCAAAATTTTTTGACAAGTTTGGCAGGATTGATATAGGTCTGTAGTTGTTAACATCTGTGAGATCACCACATTTGTGGACAGGCGTTACTATCGCTTTTTTTAGAATATCTGGAAAGGTTTGGAGTTCAAGTGACTTGTTGAAGAGCAAAGCAATAGCAGGGGCTAAAGATCTGGAGGCTTTTTTGTAGATTAAAGTTGGTATCTCCTCAAGGGCACCAGACTTGGTTTTAAGGGAAAGGATTATCTCATTGACGTCAATGGAATTAATAGGCTTTAGGTACAGAGACTAGGGATAGTTCCCTGTAAGATTGTCCTTAATGTCAGTACTGGAAGATGGAATATCATTAGCAAGGGATGAACCAATGGAAGAGAAGAACCTATTGAACTCAATAGCATAATCAGAGGCTGAAAGCTGACCATCGTTATTAGAATCTATGCAAATATGCAAATAAAGGGACTCTATGCAAATAAAGGGACCTTGTCTATGGAACTCACTCCCTAACAAATTTAAAAACTGTCCAACTTCTGCCATTTAAAAAAAAAAAAAGTACCTAATTTTATCTTGATAGTTTCCTAACTAGTGCATTAAACTCGCACTGTATCTTATGAAACCCAATTCCAGAATATATGTGCCTAAACCATACAACTTTTCCATTGTAATCATTGCTATCACCTTATATCATGATTGTTATATTGAATGCATATCTTACTATATTATACCTTGAAATATTCCTCAAATTATGCTACAATTTATATGTTGATAACCCTCAAATTTTACTTTAATGTACATAGTAATCTTTGTAAAACTTTCTTACAATATACCAGCCAATTTTTTCCAATTTTGCTTTAAATTGCCTATTTAAAATTATCTATTACATTAAGGACCTGCCCAAAACACTATGTGCGCTAGTGGCTTTACAAGAATGTAAAAACATCAATGCTATATGTACTCTCATAATCCCAGTGTGCTATCTTGTATATAAATAAATAAACAAATAGTATGTAAGTACTGTATAGTATTATTCATGTTGATTCTATACCTTATCAAGCAAGTTCAGCATAAGAAGAATACAAATGAATACAACAGATGTAGACAAACTTCAATACCTGATTTTCAATCCTTCGTAGAACCTGGCTTGCTGTATTTCGTTCTAAAGCCTTCTTGCCTTTAAGTAGAAAACGGGCTTCCTCTTCTTTCTTCATTAATTCTCTACTGTTTCGGAAGTCACACTGGCAGAACTTTCAAACATTGCTTCGGACATGCACACATTGTGTGCAGTTTGTGCATCTCCTCAAGAATTTTCCCTGAAGACCTGAAGGAAATAATTTATAATAAAATACTTATATTCAAATCACCTATGCTGCAAAAATTATAAGTTAAATTGTTGTTAAAATGTACTACAGTAATTAAATATATTATTTAAATTATGAAATAATCTACATTAACACTAGTGATAGCAATGTTAAAAATTTTAGGACTGCATCTGGAAATAACTTTAATTTTGGATGTGATTAACCAGGCTGTAACTCGTATAACAAAACTGAGAGGAGTTGCATCCAACAGCCTGATTGACCAGGCTGTTAATTTCAAGCAAATACTATATTATTGGAAGAAAAAAAAATTATATATATATATATATATATATATATATATATATATATATATATATATATATATATATATATATATATGACAGAGTCAGACCACGGAGGAAAATTGAAACAAATTTCCTTATATTAATACATCTTCATTCAGAAGAAGTCATGTATTAATATATGAAAGTACTTAAGGAAATTTCTGTTTCAATTTTCCACAAGGTTACAAGGGGTCCATCTAATTACCACAAGCTACCACAAGCTACACAAGCTTCACAAAAATTCCTGGCAATATGTTAGTAATGAATAAATATGATATGTTAGATTAGGCTGACATAACCTAACCTAACATAACCTAATCTATCCTAACCTAACCTAACCTAACCTAACTTAACCAAACCAAACCAAGTATCTCAAGTTACAAATATCTCTGGGAATTCGTATTATCTGCTGTTGTAGAATTGACAAAATGGACAGTGTCAGCAAAATTATTCCCACATACTCCGTCACTATGTGATGGGGTACACATAGGACAGGGACTGAATTGTCCCTGACAGGGGCAATTCTGTAACAAATGTTCTAGCATAAAACTTTGTACAGTTTAGTAATTTCTTACCGTTTGATGTACCAGTATGATCCATGTGTGGTGAAGTTTTATAGCTGGAGCTGGAAGATCCTGTCGAGATGACTTCTTCAAAGAGACTAATAGCTTCCACACACATTGTGTCTTGAGTCCTCCAGTACTTGGCCTACAGAGTTACCAGATCTGATTTACAGAAACTAGTGAACTATGGAGATGAGATTGTTAATAATATACTTTTTTTGAGATTCATATGACTTGCAGCTTAAAAACCAACCTTATTTTAAAATAGTACACTAAAGTACATAGCAAATTGCGAAATTCGTAGCTTTAACTACTTTAAAGCTAAATTCTCAAGCTTTGAAAATAAGCACAATTTGCTATTTTAAGCAGAATCTGGGAACTCTGATTTAGCATGTAAACATTGACTTGCATTCACAATGTAGTTATTTATTTTTCAACAATTTAAAACGGGTTATGAAAATACACACATTGGTACATTATTGCAAAGGCACTATACTATATATATATATATATATATATATATATATATATATATATATATATATATATATATATATATATATATATATATATATATATATATATATATATATATATATATATATTAAATATATATATATATATATATATATATATATATATATATATATATATATATATATATATATATATAAATTGTTGCAAGTCGAGCAACAAATATTTTACATTGAACAACAAATGAGATTGGAAAAGCAGTATTGCCAAAATAGACCCCAGACACACCCTGTGGGTAGTAATGGACCCCCATACCGACCCTATGAGGGGTAGTGGACCCCATAATAACACTATGGGCGATAGTGGACACTATACAAACACTATGAGCGGTAGTTGACTTCATAGCGACCCTGTGGGTGGTAGTGGACCCCCTATCGACCCTGTGGGCGGCAGTGGACCCCCTATCGATCCTGTGGGCGGCAGTGGACCCCCTACCGACCCTATGGGCGGCAGTGGACCCCTACCGAACCTGTGGGCGGCAGTGGACCCCTTACCGACCCTGTGGGCGGCAGTGGACCCCCTATCGATCCTGTGGGCGGTAGTGGACCCCCTATCGACCCTGTGGGCGGCAGTGGACCCCCTATCGATCCTGTGGGCGGCAGTGGACCCCCTACCGACCCTGTGGGCGGCAGTGGACCCATACCGAACCTGTGGGTGGCAGTGGACCCCCTACCGACTCTGTGGGCGGCAGTGGACCCCCTATCGATCCTGTGGGCGGTAGTGGGGCTCCCCCCTATCGACCCTGTGGGCAGCAGTGGACCCCCTATCGATCCTGTGGGCGGCAGTGGACCCCCTACCCACCCTGTGGGTGGCAGTGGACCCCCTACCGACCCTGTGGGCGGTAGTGGACCCCTACCGACCCTGTGGACGGTAGTTGACTTCATAGCGACCCTGTGGGCGGTAGTAGACCCCATACCGACCCTGTGGGTGGCGGTGGACCCCATACCGACCCTGTGGGCGGCAGTGAACCCTATATACTAATCCTGTGGGCGATACTGTACCCTATAGTCATCCTGTGGGGGCAATGGACGCCATACATATCCAGTGGGTGTTATTAGACACCATACTTATTCTGTTGGTGGTTGGAGCCCCATACCCATCCTGTGGGTTATAGTGGACCCCATACTCATCCTGTGGATGGTATTGGACCCCATACCCATCCTGTGGGTGGTTGTGAGCCCATACCCATCCTGTCGGTGGTAGTGGACGCCATACACATCCAGTGGATGGTATTGGATCCCATACCCTTCCTGTGGGTGGAAGTGATCCCCATACCCATCCTGTGGGTGGATGTGACCCCCATACTCATCCTGCGGGTGTTATTGGACCCCTTACCCACCTAACAGGTGGTAGTGGACCCTATACTAATCCTATAGTTGGGATAGTACACACCATACCATCGTGTTTGCAGTAGTTTACCCTATATACATTCCAACATAACATTGTTTTCTATTAGCGTTCCTACAAAACATTCTTTAAAGATTTTTAAAGCACAAACTATGGTATATAATATTGATTGGTGAAGCACTGTTATTCTATGTAATAATTTAATGTGCTTATTATAATTTACTAAGAACAACTAATATTTCTCTAAATAAAACTACGAACCATCAATAGGATGTAGCTGATTTGTAATATTATAAGAGCATGGACAATAGTAGGTAAATTTCACAACCCATGTGGGACCTGAAAACTACAATTTTCGTTATAATTGAATCAATCACGACTATTCAGCTATCTACGTTGATGGACGGGTACAGTGAGACGTAAATTGGAACGTGAGGAAGAGTTTGAGCCTTGGTAAAAAAGTTAACTGGGAATATATCACATATGTACTAAATCACATTCAACATATTGACTTTAAGCATTAAGTCATATATGTGCTGTCTTGTGTGAGAACGGGTTGTAGGATTGTCAGATCATAGGCAGCCTTTTTCATTGGGAGACTTTTTATTACTATTTTGAAAGTAGGCTCTTCCCACGGCGTGGAAGGAGTGTAATTTGGGTATGGATGATCACCCTCTCTATTGAACAGAGTTTAAACGGCTTCGATTTTATACCTGCATTTGGGTGAGGTGATATGTTACAACAGTTTTGGATGAGGTGAAAACAAACTTTCAACACAAGACAGAACACGAAACAATGGGTATAATATTGGGTAAGTTAAAGGGAAGAATGGAAGTAACTTCAAAGGGCCTATTGGCCCATATTTCTTGATGCTTCTATATTGGTGCGGAGTTTTGAAGTGGGTAGAATATAGTTGTGCATTAATTGGCTGTTGATCGCTGGTGTTGACTTCTTAATGTGTAGTGCCTCACAGATGTCAAGCCGCCTGCTATCGCTGTATCTATCGATGATTTCCGTGTTTTTTGTTAAGACTTCTCTGGTGATGGTCTGGTTGTAGGAAGAGATTATATGTTCCTTTATGGAGCCCTGTTGCTTATGCATCGTTAATCGCATGGAAAGAGATGTTGTTATCTTGCCTATATACTGAATTCTTCGAGGCTTACAGTCCCCAAGTGGGAATTTGAAGGCATAGACAACGTTGGTTTCCTTCAAGGCATTCTGCTTTGTGTCTGGAGAGTTTTTCAAAAGTAGATTGGGCGTTTTTTTGGTTTTATAACCAAAATATGTTAAAGTGAATGACCTATAAATAAAATTTTCAGTATAAATGAGCCTATAGCACCTCGTTTGGTGATTAGTTATATTTAACAGTAATATTGGTTTCAAACTTTGTGAATATTTTCATATTTATGGTTTATATTTGACCATGCATGGGAAACAGTAATTGTATGTCACTTTTGTCGCGTTCCTAACCAGATATAGTCTGGGACTGGGGCAAAAATCCTGTATTGAATAACACAGCAATGCTCCTTTGGTCAGTTGTTCTAATAGTCTATCTTTAACCATTGCAACCTAAACAGTTATCACTTGTCTGTGACGTGTGGATTGTGACTATAATTTGATTTAAAAACCAGAGAACTCGAGCAAGAGAGATGCCTTTTTATTATATTTATATCAAGTGATTTTGAATAATATGATAAACTTAAACTGTCCATCAATGCATGTATGGATTAAGCCTTACTAATCGATACTTCTGGGTTTACCACATTACCGGAGACTTCTCTGTTATTTATCAATGTTTTGGAATGATTGAGGTTGTTGCTGCTGGAACTCACAGATCCAAGACATTACAAGGGTGAGCTCCTCTCCCCCAGGTCAACCTAATTTCTGAATCAAGCTTCTTCAGACATTGCTTATCCAGGGATGAGTGTTGAATTCCCCTCACTGCTAAACCTGTAGGTTACCCATTATTCTCTCATACACTACTTTCAGTTAATATGAATGACTATTGCTGGTTATCACCTTTATTCGTACTCTCTGTCGTCTCACATGGCTCCTCATCAAAGATTATATTCAAGCATATACTAGTAATCTTAGCATTATATGCTGCTTTCACTCAAACGTAATAAATGAAGGATGAACATGATAGAAGAACACATACCATGTTAAAACTGAACAATATGAAGTAAGTAAGTAATTATCAATAGAAGGCACCAAACCGGGAAGGTTATGTAGCACCATTAAATGTGCGGGATAATCAGAGGGCGCTAAACATCATCAAGGACGCCAATACGAGAACAGAAA